GATTTTGGTCCTTCAATTTTTAATTGAACAATTTTAGTCCCTCAAATATCATAATAGTATGATTTTTGTTTCTCCCATTAAAAATTAATAATTTTAATATATATATATATAATGTTTTAAAATTAAATAATTATTTATCTATTCAAATTAACGTATATTATAATTTTCGATATTATATCAATAATATTATTAATATATTTATAGATAAACTAATAATTTGATAAATATAACTTGTTATATATTAATATACTTTTACAAAAATATAAGTATATTAATTAGAAATATATATTTGATCTTATATATTTATATTTTTGTAAAAGTATATTAATATATATTATAAAATATTATTGATATTAATTTATCAGTAATATTAAAATACTAATAATATATAAATTTTATTTATTTAGTAATAATAAATATATATATTTGATACATTAAAAAAAATTATAATATACGTTAATTTAAATATGCAAACAATTATATATATAGTTTTAAAACATTATATATATATATATATTAAAATTTTAAAATTATTACATTTTTAATGAGAAAGACTAAAATTGCACAATTATGATATTTGAGAGATTAAAATTATTCAATTAACAATTGTGAGACTAAAATTACACAACTGTAATCTTTTAAGGACTGAAATTACTCAATTAAAACCTTAAGAATCAAAATTGCATAATTATAATACTTGAGCGATCAAAAACACAATTAAGTCAAGAATATTATATTCTCAGTTTTGGAATGGGTCGTTCTGCTGCACTGTTGGTGTGTTAATTTTGCATCCGGAACGGCCCGTTCCAGGTGCAAAATTAACACACCAAAAGTGCAACCAGAACGGCCCGTTCCGGTTTCAGAACGGGCTATTCCGGGTCCAGGTGTTTTCAAAAAAATTGTTATCCACGTGACATCCACGTATGCATCTACGTGGCATCCACGTGGCCAAAAGTTAACTCCGTTTAAATAATTTGGACGGAAGTCCCACATTGAAACTAATTAATTAATTTGGGACTAAATTGAAACCAATTAATTAGTTTGAGACCAAATTAAAACCAAAAATAAAAATGGGACTAAATTAAAACAAACAATTAATATAAAGGACCAAAATAGAGTTTTAGCCTTTACAAATAGTTAAAGAATAATTTACCTATATATAAAACTCTTCATGACTTTAGAGAATCAAACGTCATGTTATAGTTTTTATAGATTACAATTTTCAATTAATAATACTTTTAATGCTAATTTATAAATATATACAGACTTAATGTTATTTGAAAAAACTAACTTAAAATATATATATATATATATATATATATAAT